AGTGCAAATATATAATTTCATATATCTAAAATCATCATTCATTACTTGGATGGTTTATTTGGACCCAACACAGAGGTCATGGGTTCAAATCCCGTACGGGCCTGGATTTTTTTCAGGTCCTATTTTCAACTACTCGTTTCAGTAGTGTTCTTAGCTGCAAGGATCTCTTAATTTCATTTCTTCACCTCAGTGCAAATATATGAATTCCAAATATCTAAAATCATCAGTTCAATACTTATAAGGCAGTCGGTCTGTCAATCAAATAATAAGTAATTATGTCAGTCCGTTTGTCGGTGAGAAAATAGTAATTCATTCAAACGATTAATGACCGAATAAAATATCGACTATTTGTGTACTGACAAACGGAAAGACTGAAGTAATATGTTCAAGGATTAATTTTGTGGTTCATTTCTTAAAATGTCCTCTTCGATCCTTCTAGGACTGATTCCTCGCAGCAGGAAGATGTCCATGATGCAAAACGTCCAAAATTTGGAGGAACGACTCAAAGACATAACGTCTGATCTACAAAAGTTGAAAGAGGAATTTGAAAGTGCCGTGAACGGTTTGTCTCCTGTAGGCATTCCTGAATACTCAAGACTAAAAGAACGCTCATTTTTTATAATGCTTGATCAGAAAAGAAAGAGTGAAAATACTGAAACAAAACTATAACTCGCTGAAAAAATTTGTCATAAATAGATTCAGATAGCATTTACTCTTCTGAGATTTCCATGGCCAGTGGTATATTTTTTAGCTGGAGCAAAAAGAAAAGGTGAATGTGTCACACTGAATAGGACACGTAACTGACTTCTTCTTTTTCATTACGAATTGTATTGAATTGTTTTCCTTCCTTATTCCTATTCCCTGTTTAAGTTATTTACTTCAGTTTTTAGGCCAACAAACCAATACGTCGTTTTCAGAGAACGGTAGCAAGTTAACCAAAAAGGTTTATAAATTTTTCTCATTCCATTGCAATCAGTTTTGGCCGTCTATTGATGAAATAGCTTGCACAGTTAACTACAGACTCTACCTCGTCCGTGCTGACGGATGAACAGAATCGAGGGTTAAGAATAATTACTTTGGTATTTGCTGTTCAGTGTGTAACTTCTGGGTTTGTTCGTTTACACTCTATGGAATTAAATTTTCACCAGTGCTGGAAAAAGCAAGTTTTTGAAAACGGGTGGTGCAAATTGGAAGTATAAATGAAGAATTCCTTTCTTTTTCAATTATTTAAGGAAGAACGTATCATAAAAGGTATAATATAACGAGAATTGTTTCTTGACTTCTCTTCTCTTGGTTAAGTAAATGCAAGTGTAATTTCTGGCTGGTCACTTTCTCAATTTCTTTCGCAAAAAGCAAGAGATTTTATAACATTTCAGGAGACAGGAACCACCAGATTTTGAGATTATGGAGGGCAGATGCAAGTGGTCACTGAAGACTTCAGGTTACAAGTTAATTGTTTCGAAACGTCCTTAATCCTCAAATCCTTACGATTTAATCAAAGTTTTTCAATATTTTATATAGCCAATAGATATGTGTGCCTAGAGCATGCATAAGAAATACTGACTATAGGAGAATAAGGGCCAGTCAAGGACTATTATTCATTCACAGATAATAAAGTCCACAGGCGATTTCTCTCTGAGAAATGCATCCTTGTTTTGCACCTGAATCTTGCACCGTAATCGATAATTTTTTCGTGTATCTATAAATATATTTTTTAATTCAGGCAAGACTGTATATAGAAGCATATTTTTGTAACGTTAGATATGCCACAAGTGAAAGCTAAATGATGTTTACAACTTGTAAAGTTATCATAGGAATCTTTACTTTTAGCGATCAAGAAATATGGTGGACAATGGACAATGTACAGTTATAATTCTGGGTTAAAAAAAAGAAAGCTTAGACGTTAGATCAAATAGTGTCCACAGCGTATTATTTTAGGGACCTTACTCGCACATTACATGATTGGTTCCCTTGACTAAGAATTTTTAGGCTCGCTCTTGTACCATGAAAAAATAGATCGTGTCGCGGCAAGCAACCACAGGAATGGGAGTCTAATGGGCTGGCAAATTAGAAAAAAAAAGATGACGAATCTTGAATCTCGGCTAAAAAATTAGTTACAAGAAAAGAAGATTTAGTTTAGTCTAACGTTTTGGTTATAGTTCAGTCTTATTCGTTCATTTTTTGAAAGGATTAAGCAAAATGTGACGTCTCAGACTTATAGGAAATGAAAAATGAAACGCATGCATAACCTTGAACGTTTCGATCAAAAAGTTACTTCTGCAAGATTACTTCTAAAAATTTTAATCAGGATGTTTAAATTCTCTGCTAGGGGCTTCTGTAAGCCCCCAAGTTTTCCGTGTCTGTATTTGCATAAGCTTGAGTTTCTGGATGACGAGACAATATGTATACCTACCTTATGGAGAATGGATAATCTTCACCGTATAAGTGGTGTAAGGACTCTTTAATAAGAATTAAGATATTGTAAAACCATAGAATATTAGGGAACATTTTGCATAAAGTCTTTTAGTTTAGTCATTCACGGCCTTAGTTTGGAAACTAGGTAGACTTCTTCCCAAACCCTCACCCCAGTGAGTCCTATTTCAACTAATTGTAAATAAACTGATATTTTTTAAATTTCATGTTTGTTAAGGTAACTGGATTCTGGCAAATTTTCATGAAAATCCAATAAATCTATATACCCTGTAAATTCGTTTTAGTACAGGTAACTTGCATAAAAACAAGCCTCGAGTTTTCGTTCTCCAAAGAAATTCACATTTTTCGCATGTCATTGCGGTCAAACCGCCGACCAATGGAACGCGACATCGACCCCCTGTTATGTCTCCAGAAGAAAAACTCCGAAATTCACGGGAAAGGTAATTTCGCGAAACGGGGAAAACGAATTTTCGATAGTTCAACGAAGTCCTAATGTTAATCCTCAACTGAAGAACATGAAGAAAATTGAGTAAAGCAAGCAAAAGAAAAAAAAAATTTGCCTTCTGTTTTCTCGGCCTGGGCTCTCTCACGACGATTCTTTTTTTGATGAGGAATGTGATTTGTTAACGTGTTGCGAAATATTACAGAAATTCCCCTTCGTTGTACGGTGCAAGACATGATTCAAACAAAATATGCAAATAAAAATCCCAGATGAAACCCCGCGGAAAACGTTAACACTGTGCTAACTAACACCCTTTAACTCCCACGATCTCATTAGCAATTCTCCTCACTGTCTGCCACGTAAATCTTGTGATATTAGTTCGGAGCACTTGGTATTGGATCGACTAATAATCCACTAATTTATATTTTTCTTTATTGTCATTACTTGTCTGCTTGATTTTGTATTGATAATGTAAGGTGAAATTCTGTCTTGGTTACCCATGGGAGTTAAAGAGTTATGACATTCTCTCAGCCATGTCTCCCTATTTTCAAGATTCTGTAATTTTTATTTCCCCAAAAAATCAGACTTGACTTCTTTCTTTGACTAAAGAGCGAAAAAACGAGATTCTAATAGTTTTGACCAGATTTTGTTGATAGTAAGCTTAATATTCGTTTATAATTTTAGTGGAAGTTACGGGTTCTTAGCCCTGACCCAAAAGAAAAGTTAAAAGGAGTTAAGATGAGTGGATAAGGCCTTAAGAATAATAAATAAATAGATTGACAATTCAAGAGAGTCAAAATCATTTTAGTGGTTAACCAAAAATACCTGAAACAATGGACCAATAAATTAAGGCCATATTTCGTAATCGGCAGCTGCACCCCGTGAGCTGTGAGACTCTTGTTGACTTACAATTGTTCAGCGATCCTTGTCTTTTGTTGAAAGGGAGATTAAATTTCACTGCGTTTGATATTTCACACAACATGTACTTCAGCAAATATATAACTCTTTTATAACTGCAGTAAGTCAAGGTAAGTGGAATCTGGAGCCTTCCTGCTTTCGATCCCGCGCTCGATCAACACTTCTGGTGATTGAGTCACTATTTTTCAGAGATAATAGTCCGTGCTTTTTATATAAAATGACACAACATATCTTTTTAACGAAAGAATATAATGCAAAATTTGTATAGATTTCTTCCTTGTGAAATCCTCAGAGGATTATCACAAATGCACATAAAGAAAAATACAAATATATGCGTTTGCCTGAAAATCTCGCTACGAATATTTTGAAAATGGTTACTTTCAGAACAGTCCTCCGGCACTTCAAGACAGCATAAACATTTTTCCTCTTTTGGTTCCTTTTTGCAAATTTTTGGTGTTTGCCACTGGTTTAAAAAAGCATCACATTTTTCTATCGCAGCACTGTTTGTAAGCAAAGTGTCATTTATACCAGGAATACAAACAATTTATTACCTTTCCGTTCGTTTTGGCTGTTCGTTATCTTACTCAAGCGATAGTCATTGCTTGTATTCTCAGCAGGACTGCAAATTTGTTTTTCTCGTATTTTTTACCCAAGCGACGATAAGAGGTGTCAGCAAATTGTAGTCATAATCATTTCAATAAAAATACCAGCCGGCCAGCCGCCATTAGCGCTAAAATATATGTTCTAATGGATCATGTTCCTAACTCTTTAAGATAAAATCTTCGTTCACAGCCGTTATCGTCTTAATTTGCTAGTGAAGGTTTTAATTAACTTGGTTTCGACTCTCCTGTTTTCTGCGTCCAGTGCGAAGTTTTCCCACCTTCAAGCTCTCTTTTCGCATGATTTATGCCGACAGCAGGATTTGGAGGTGAGTATAACGTTGCATTATTTAAGACCTGAAATTTTTTCCAGCCATTTTATGCTGTATTTTATTCTTACACTGACCGAACTCCTCGGAATAGACGACTACGAACAAAATTTCCACATTCGTTCTTGAGTTGTTCAATTAACATGCAGCATGCAACAATGTTTCGGTCTTTTTTCCTTTTCAAAAAGGTACGTGTTTCCTCGAAATATTGTATCGTCATCATGGTAATTTATTCATACAATTTCTTTATTGTTTGCAGAAACCCTCGACATCAATCCTCGTCGAACTTTTGTGAAAAATTGTTTCCAAATTTCTTGAGCTTTGTCCATCTTATTTGCTCATCCCTCGTGCTTTACGTAGAAATGGCCACATCCCTACCAGTTAAGTCCTGGTGTGAATATTTCGCTTCGATTCAACACTCCCTTTAAAGACGGTTTTGTTGTGGTAATTTTAATTACACACTGTAGGGTTGAATTTGCACCTGCCTCCAAGCAAAATAAACCGCTATCCCCGATTTGCATTCGTTTACATTACGTTCATGAGGGTATTTTTTCTGCGGCTCATTACTTTTTCTTAACTTGCCGACTTCACTAGTTTCGGTTGCTCAAAAAGAGTAAAAAAAACAACAGTGAAAAAAAGAAAGCCACTTCCGATTTGCCATTCTCAGAAAACGTGGAAGCAATTTTTGAACTGAAATTTTTCACTAAAAGATGGAACTCTGAATAATTTATAAACCGGGTAAGAATTTAATAGATCATAAATATTTTAATTGAAAGGAAAACTATGGAATAAACTAATTCATGAACAACGTAGAAAGCTGTTTCTTTTCATCTTCGTCTCTGGTTCGGGGACAATTTAAACTTTGACGATAAATTTCTTATTCCGCAGAATTCAATATGTATAGAGTCACGATTGGATTCATCGTAGTTCTGGTTTGCTTCGTTACCTTGCCTGCTGCTAGCTATTCAAGTCATAAATCGAAATTAATCCCTGGGACTCGTGAGATCCGGCAAGAGCGACGAACGCGTGAAACCCGTCAGGCACATTCTAGCGACACCAAATACCGATACAAAATAGCTCTTTTGGACGTGCCTCCATATATAATGAACACAGCTAGTAACAAGTCAAACAGAGGCTTTATGTACAAACCGCTCATGGAGTCTATAAATAACGCTTGTTTTGATGAAGAAAAATCAACGGAATCTCATCTGAACTGCTTCCTGGATTCAATCTTTGTACGTGACTACGACGAGATGATCAAACTGATTAAAGAAAAGCAAGTGGATTTTGCTTTTCCTATTCTGTCCGACATGAAAGCTAAGCTGACGACTGAAACCAATGTCACGCTCATCCGAGCATTTGTCTCATCCGGGTGTTCAATGATAGTGAATACAAAGTTATGCGAGCAGGATTCGCGGAAACAGTTGATGACTTCCATCACGTCACAGTGGCCGATATTGGCTTGTATCATACTTTTATCAGGAATATCTGGGGTTATCATTTGGCTTTTTGTGAGTATCATTGGCCTAGAAAACGTATTTATAATGAATAAACATTTTTAAATGCTGGAAGTTATTGCATACGCAATTTAATTTTTTAGGAAACTTCAAAGCGCTAGAAAATTCAATGATGAATTAGTCTAATCTCATGATTGGCCATCTTTGTTCATTAACACTCATAGTGCTTAAACTTATAGAAAAAAACACTCGAAATTAACTCAAACTGTCTGAAATCGAAGATTATTGCGAAAGATTTTAATCAGGTAAAAGAAAATTGTGTTCCTGAGATATCGAAACGGTATGAGCGAGCTCGTAGCGCGCGCAGGGGTAGGTCGTTATAATTTAAATAATTTGGCTTGTGGACGGATGTGTAGTATTCATTTTAATACCATGCTTTTGTTTTGAATCCCTCAGGAACATAGAGAAAATGAAGAGTATTTTTCACCATCTTTTGCAATTGGATCGCCTCAGGGGTTCTGGTGGGCAGTGGTATCACTTACAACAGTAGGGTAAGTCATCTTATTTTTCTTTTGTTTAATAAAAAACTTCGCGGGTTAGAGAGCAAAAACACTGGCGGCACATTGTCATGTGCATTTTCTTCTCAGCGACCAGTCAATATTTATCGCCCTAGGGAGGGGTCGATTATTTATTTTTTTTGGGGGGGGGGGGAGAGGCGGGGTTGCGTGGTTTCTAGAGGGAATGGGGTGGATATGGGTCGTTGTCAACCGAGTATAACTGTCAATGGGGGGGGGGGTATGGTTTTTACAGAGCCTTATGGGGGTATCAGGTAAATTCTACCTTAACACAACCAAAATCCTCCAAACCCTACCCCCCTCCCCCTAGCGAAAAATATTAGTTATGATTAATTCATGGCAAATCTCATGTTTTAAGCACGGCTTAAAGATATAAAGACGCCGCTAGCCACCTATTTCGTCGGAAGTGTAAGCTGGCGTTTTTGAACCACGTATCTTTGCTCTCTTAAGGTTTCTTCCCATCTTCGCGGGTGTCCTTCGGGAAAAAAATCGTACGCGCGCAAGTTTTACTAAAGTCCTAGCAAACTATATAGCAGAAGAGAGCTTAATAACTGCAGTTTACGAAGAAAATATAATTTAAGCGACTTTTCTTTTAAGGAAGTGTTAGGAGCCGGTAAGGCGTGAAACGACCGAAGGTTCTTCTATTGAATTTATCTGGTATCGGATGCCACAGTTATTCACATGGCATCAATCAACAAAAGTGTGTCAGGCTTCTTCGATATTCTGATTGGTTGTCTAGATGTCGGCATCTAAAGTCGGAGTTGCTAAAATACGGGAGGTGTGTTGCGTAAATGGAGGCGAAACAATCTCCTGTTTGGAGAACATTAAGTTTGGGAACCTTTATGAGCTAAAATCTCGCATTTGATTTTGGGAGGAGTACAACCACTTTGACCGAATTTATAGGGTATTTAGATTTGACAAATTTTCGTCAAATTTCGCCGACATCCTAGGAATAATAACAAACGAAAATGTGTCGAAAAATTTTGATATTTGAAATATTTGTCCCATTGCGTCTATTAACGCAACACGACCGGCATATTTTTAGCTACTCCAACTTTAGATGTCGATATTTAGACAACCGATAAGAATATCTAGAAAGCCTGACACACTTTTGTTGTTTGATGCCTTGATACCGGCTCCTGAACGGCTCCTGACACTTCCTTAAAAGAAAAGTCGCTTAAATTATATTATTATCGCAAAATGCAGTTATTAAGCTTTCTTCAGGTGTATAGTTTGCTAGGATTCTACGAACTAAAGCGCGTACGAATTTTTCGCGAAGGACACCCGCTAAGGTGTGAAGTAACCTTAAGTCGCAAGCTGCAAGATTGAACAGGTTTAAAAGCGAAGGATAAAACTTTCAGGAATGGCTATTCACGTTGAATTTTTTCGCTCGAAGCTCCACTAGGTCTATGATGAACGTTTTTTTGGTTAAAATAAAAGTGTTACCAATTTTTACCCTGAATTCTGTCAAGAGTATAAAAACTGTCAGATGGACCTGCGCTTGTACTCACACCAGAGCTGGATCAAGGGTTTTATGACAGGGGATCCCAAGCTTTGATTCAGAAAGCACAAATTAAATTCTCTTTTTATGGTAGAACCTAAGATAAGTAAATTTCAACTACTGTTCGTAGTGACATGCGATCCTGACGTTTCAGTAATTCTGGTTGTAAAAATACCCAGGTCCAGATCCCTGGATCTTCATTCTGTATCCACCCCTATAAATTAATTTTTGTCTCCCTTTTTAGGTATGGTGACAAAATACCAAGGTCGATTCCTGGACGGTTATTTAGCATAATTTGGATCCTTGTTGGAGCGATATTGTTATCGCTGTTCACTGCCATGGTCACAAATGCTATGCACACTGCTCTGGATGGCTCAAAATGCAAAGATATCAGCGGTAAAGAGGTGAGAGTTGTCAGAAGTAAAAAAAACGAATTTGACAGCGTTGTCTGTGTTATTTCCATAAACCTGGCCTATCAATTCATTTTAATATTTCTATGGATTGATGATAATCTGGGAAATCATGGCCTTTAGGGTTGATGCTAACCTTACACGGGCAAGGATAAGAGTGGTCCCTTCTTTTTGATAAAGTCCGTCGCACCAATCAAAAACACAAAAATAAAAAGCACAAAAGTAACCGTGGAAAAAATTGATATTGGCGCGCCGCGGCGTGCCTCATCTGCACATTTCCGCGCGCCACGCTATCATCAATTTGTGTTCTTTTGTTCGCTGATATTTTTTGACTCGTGCGACGGACCTCTCCGAAAAGTGGAGACTGCTTGCAGTCTATGCACAAACTCAAACAAGAAAAAACAAAAAGAAAGAAAAACGAAACATCTCGCTGCGGGCCACCCTTGAGCGTGTAACATCATGGTCTAAGCTCTCCGACTCGTTCCGAAAGCCTCCATAACTTTCTTCGTAGAATCTATCGCCAGTAATGCCCTCTTCGCTGACAGTATCACTCCGCAATCTTTCCAGAATCTTCCTAACTGAATACCAACTTATTGTTGGTAAATTTTAGGTGTATGAATTGCGAAGTAATCACGCAATTCACCCAAAAATATGTGGAGATTCCAAGATGACAGATCAAGTCTTCACCAGGCCCTATTAAGTTTTTACGTGCGATTTTATTGTTGATTTACCATAATATGTAAGCACTGTTCCTTGAGACCTATCAATTACTGACTATTGCTAAGTGAGTTATCTGATTCATTACTTACTAAGTTCGTCCTTGTAACAGTGAAAAGGCTAAAGGATGTAGTCGCGTGCAAGGGGGAAAGGTTATGAAAAAAATGAACTCACCCAACACATGCGTAAGAGAAGATAAAAGCTTTTCTTATGTAGTGTCATTCACCTTAGGTTGGTTTGTTTATCAAAAATACTGATACACAAATTGTGGCAAAGCAGTTCGACGCGAAGATAATTGGTAAGTAACAATTTTCGCTTATCTATTGACAACATTCCATTCACAAATAAAATTAATAAATGCCTCTGTCTTCCTTAGTAAATTAACGTGACGATGCCATACTGGATTAACGAAGATCAGGCATGTGCTCCTGATTCCCGTCTCACCGAAGGATTCAGGGATAGTTCTGATTTCACCCGACTCCGTGGCAATTATTCGTTCCGGGGCACACGCCAGTATGACTTCCCATTCAAATACAAACGTACACGAAAACAGAGCCACGAGAGGGAAGAAGAGGAGGGAGACGGTGAGGGGGAGGGGATTGACTTCACCCAGACGGGAAAGTCCTCCCATATCATGAGGCCATACCTTACACTAAAAATACATGTCAGTGACACCTCTTCTGACAAACTACCAACTGGATAAAGTCTTAAAGGTTTTTTAACCTTTTTTAAGTGACCTCCCTTGTGACTGGACTGATCCAGAAATATCTGATATTACAGTGTTTAGAAGCCTGCAAGAGATGCAAGAAAAACTCAGTGAAGGAACCATTGGAAGAGTCCTTGTAGATCGAAATACTGCATTTTACTTCCTCGATAAATCCGGACTGAAAAAGAACAGGCAGATACGAATGATTCGCAATATCGATTATCCGATGGATTATTTCTTGGTGCATGTATACACGGCACCAGTGAACGTTACAAATGACACCGATCCAGAAATTGTCAAGAGAAAAAAAGTGGTGGAATGTGGACCAGCATTAAAGGAATATTCCACAGAATTGCGCGCAAAAAGTAAAAAGGCCTCAGGTGACCTGATACCCGCAGAACTGCAGGTAGTCTCCTACAACACTTATGAACTAAAGTGGTCAAGAGTAATTGTTGGTACTCATGTCATGTTTTTGATACACGACCATACAAAAGTTTTTTTTTTGTCGCCATACGGCTTTAACTGGCCGGCAAAATATGAGAGGTTCGTTTTAGGTAGCTTTAGCCCTCTGATGATGAAAGAACGCTTGCAAAGTTGCGGAACACCTTCTTCTACAGTTATTAGACGCTTTTCTTTAGTCTCTTATCCTTTAACACCCAGAGTCAATTAACAAATAACCTCTCCCTATAATATTCATGCATTACCTAGCAAACAGGTCATGGAAATACTCAAACTTATCTGGTAGAAGTTGTTAGTATATACCACACAAGTCAATAGCACTTTTCGCGTGCGCTGATTGGCTAATTCGGAGGTGAATAACAAGCAGTATTCACCTCTGAGTAGCTCAAGAGACAAATGGCGCGTCACCAACCATTTTTTGTTGTAATGAGGGAAATAAACTAATTGTTTGTTGTCTGTTCTGGAAAAATGAGAAAAGAAGGATACCTATGGAAAACAAGGACTACCCTTGTCCTTTAAACAACTCTAAGTGGTTGAGTCTATTCTTCTTTAATGTTTTTTTGTTTTTAGACAACAGCCTTATTTGATCAAATGGATGGTTTATTCTCAAGTGGCTCAGAAATAACCCGGTTTATCTTATTTAGTCTTCTTGGGATATTCCTCGGACTTGTCATCATTGTGATGGCTTGGGAGGGCTTGAATTCCTGTAATCCCGCGATTCTAAAAAGGAAAGGTAAGTTTAACCCCTGTTGAAATATTTTGATTCAATTTGTCCTTGTTCTACCATCAACAAACATTGTCATTTTTGGGAGGGCGGGTCCGAGGTTCTAGCGGGAATGCGTAGTTTTCAGGGGGTACGGAGGGAGGACCTATCAGAGCATAAAGGGAGATCATTAGAATTCAACAGAGCCTTATGGAGGATCAGATAAATTGTGATGCAACTCAAATCCTCCAAAGTAACTCCCTCCCCGTCCCTAACCCCCAATTTTATGATAGATACTGACCGTTCCCAAATACAATTTTTTTTGCTTAATTAGGCTTTGACAGATCCCGCATTTCTTTAATTCTTCAGATATGCGCAAGTGTGACCAAGGAAGCGAGGAAGATAATCCAACCCACTTTAACAGGAAGAAATTCGTGGCGGAGAATTTTCAGAGTCTTGAAAATAGACTCAGAGAATTATCTAGCGACTTGCAGAAGATTAAAAAAGACTTTGCTGAAGCTCTCTTAATCCAGGAAAGTGATGCGCCTCCTGAAACGCTGCTGCAATAAGGCGAGAAATTGTACCGTTTAAATAGCTCTATCTTATTTTAGCTCATTCCTATGAGCAGAGTTTGTAAATTATTAGTAATAACATTCTATCTATATGTTCTTCTGGACGGAGGAATTCATCGTTATGTCATTTGTCACATTTTGACAGCCACCAGACGTTTTCCATACGTATTACAGGTAATTTTCGGTTTTAAAAACCCTCTTTTTCAAGTGAGCCAAGCTGCAAATCTGTCTTATGAAAATAAGTTTCATTTAACATGTATCATTCTCTAATCAAAGGTCTTGCAGTCATCCCTGTTTTAGATCAGAGGCCTTTTTTACCTCTGACATGGCCTGAAAAAATGAGGTTTTACAGCAAAGAGGAAAAATTTAAATAGTCGTTGGTCAAATTGCAATCATTGTCATAAATAAGGTAGGTAAAGTCAGCATAAGAAACAGACAGCTCATTTGTTCTGTGCTTCTACTCTGTCCCCACTTCGCCTTAGACATGTTCCAATGGCCTAATGCATGGTCAGTGCACTGGACTCTGGATCGAGAGGTCTGGGTTCGAGACCTGACGGGGTCAATGGGTTGTGTTCTTGGGCAAGACACTTTTCTCTCCCATGCCTCTTTCCACCTAGGAGTATAAATGAGTACCAGCAGATTGTCAGGAAAGCCTAATAAAATGCTGGGGGTGACCTTGCGATGGACTGGCAACTGATCGGGGTGGGGGGTTGGGGGAATAGTAATACTCCTCTTTATGCTAAAGTGAAACCGGGATAAGTTCAGGCTGGGTGGGTCAATTTCCTGGACTATGGAGGCAAGGAAGGCCAGTTTTAATCTTGTAAAATTATTGTATGGCTGGGGATTTTTGACTCTTGTGATTGATACTTTGTGCATAGAGGAGTTATGTTCTGAGAGTTGAAAAACAAAACCAAAGTTATTAAAGCAACCAATCAGAAGAACACTTTACATTATCATTAACCAAAGAGAACTCAAAGTGAAAACAAGCAAACTGCTTCAAAAGCAGGAAAAATGGGAATGAGCAAGTTGCAGTTGCTATTAGTTTTGCATCCGCTAGGTTGAGAGGATAGCTCAAGTTTTCTGGGCCAATCAACCATTAGAGTTATTATTTTTGTTATTGTAAATTGGTCTAGATAAGATCACTTGATGTTATTTGAAAATTTCATTACTTAAATGATTTTTTTTTTCAATTGATGAATTGAATTCGTCATTTATTTACTAGTTTTTGTTCGATTAACCGATACATACTATTATATTTTCCAGTTCACTTCGCAGCTAGATAATTGTGTAATAGTAAAGCTTGCCGTGCACGGCGCGCTGCAACGCCTCATACCCTCAAAAATGATGGTAACATAATTGTAACCCATCAAGCAGAGACGATTTTATATTTTGTACAATACGTTTGTTTATTAGACTTAAAATCTGTATCTGGTCTGTATTATAAACCTTTCCATTCTAATGCTGTAGTAGAAGCTATTATATGAGAGTATGTTTTACTGCCGCAGCTATTTTCACGAAAGAATTAAAACTAAATTAAAACTAAAGGTTGAGCCAAGACTGTAAAGTTATGACTTTCTTTTTTCATTCCTTCTTGTAACTAATTTTTTGGCCAACATTTAGGATTCGTCATCTTTTTCTTCTAATTCGTTAGCCCATTCCTGTAGTTGCTTGCCGCGACACGATTAATCTGTTCATAGTAAAAGAGCGAACCCAAAAATTCTTAGTCAAGGGAACCAATCATCTAGTGTGGGAGTAAGGTCCCTAAAATAAATAGCTGTGGACGCTATTTGATCTAACGTCTAAGATTTTTTTTTTTTTTTATATTTTTTCACCTGTTATTATAACTATACATTGATCAGTATATATTTTTTGATCACTAAAAGTAAAGATTCCTTTAATTACTTTACAAGTTGTAGCTTTCACTTGTAGCATATATAACGCTTCAGTCTTGCCTGAATTTAAAAAAATCAGCGACTACGGTGCAAGATTCAAGTGCAAAACGGGGATACATTTCTCAGAGAGACATCACCTGGATTGGAGTTTATTACCTGTAAATGAATAATAGTCCTTGACTGGCCGTTATTCTCCTATAATCAGTGTTTTTTATGCTGCCCTATAGGCACACAGATCTATTGTTTATATACAATATCTAAAAACTTTGATTAAATTGTAAGGATTTGAGGATTAGTGACGTTTCGAAACGTTTAACTTTTAACCTAGAGTCTTCGGTGACCACTTGCATCTGCCCTCCATAATCTTAAAAGTCAGCGGTTCCAAAAGTCTCCTGAAATGTTATAAAATTTCATGCTTTTTGCGAAAGAAATTGAGAAAGCGACCGGCCAGAAATTACACTTGCATTCGTCTAACGAAGCGAAGAGAAGTCAAGAAACAATTATTGTTATATAATATCTTTTATGATAAGTTCTTCCTTAAATAATTAATAAGGAAAGGAATTCTTCATTTATACTTTCAATTTTCACCACCCATTCTCAAAAGCTTGCTTTTTCCAACACTTGTGAAATTTAATTCCATAGAGTATAAAAAAACAAACCCAGAAGTTAGGCACTGAAAAGCAAATACCGAAGTTATTATTCTTGACCCTCGATTCTGTTCATCCGTCAGGACGGACGAGGCAGAGTCTGTAGTTAATAGCGCGAGCTATTTCATCAATAGACAGCTAAAACTGATTGCAGTGGAATGAGAAAATTTATAAACCCTCTTGGTTCACTTGCTACCTTTCTCTGAACATAACGTATTGGTTTGTTGGCCTAAAAACCGAAAGTAAGGAAATTAAAAAGGGAATAGGAAAAAGGAAGGAAAAGAATTCAATACAATTCATAATAAACAAGAAGTCAGTTACGTGTCCTACTCTGTGTGACACATTCACCTTCTTTTTTTGCTCAAGCTAAAAATATACCACTGGCCATGGAAATCTCAGAAAAGTAAAATGCTATCTGAGTTTACTAGTGGCAAAATGTTTTATGTGTTATACTATTGTTTCTGTATTTTTACTCTTTCCATTCAGATCAAGCATATTAATAGAAAATGAGCGTTCTTTTGGTCTTGAGTATTCACGAGACAAATCGTTCGCGGCACCTTCAAATTCCTCTTTTAACTTTTGTAGATCAGACGTTATGTCTTTTAGTCGTTCCTTGAAATCCAGGAAGTTTTGCATCATTGACATCTTCCTGCTGCTAAGAATCAGTCCTAGAAGAAGGATTGTAGAGGACATTTAAAGAAATGAACCACTAAATTAATCCCTGAACATATTACTTTTGTCTTTCCGATTGTCAGTACACAAATAGTCGATATTTGATTCGGTCATTAATCGTTTGAATGAATGACCATTTTCTCACTGACAAACGGACTTACATAATTACTTATTATTTGACTGACAGACCGACCTTTCAATAAGTATTGAACTGTTTCATGTAACGAAGGTTTCCACATTTCTGATTAAAATCTCACTGGCTGATTGGATGACTGACCGACCGACTGCCTGACTAACTAACTGACAGACTGACCGACTGACCGACTGAAGGACGAGTGACTGTCTCATTGTCTTTGATTGCCATCTGAATTTAAAAATATAGAATTACACCAATACCACGAATTAGTCTGGCTGACTGACAGACAGACTGACTGACTAACTGACTGGCTGACTGACAGACAGACAGACTGACTGACTAACTGACTGACTGACTGCCTGACTAACTAACTGACAGACTGACCAACTGAAGGACGAGTGACTGTCCCATTGCCTTTGATTGCCATCTGAATTTAAAAATATAGAATTACACCAATACCACGATTTATATTAATTAAGATAGAACAGTTTTCTTCAAAAGGTATCTGTTTTATATTTACTCTGCAGGTGCCTATGGTAAATTAATTTAAGAAGTAGTTACCTTTTCTCTTCTTGTGTATCGTTGGCTTACAGTTGGTGTAGACTTCCCAAAGTTTGCCGATGATCATTAGGAAGGTGAGTATTCCCAACAAGGCTAATAATATAAATTTGGTCATTTGTGAGCCGGTGGAGAATAACCCTTCCATTTCATCGGACAAATCCGCTGTCTAAAAAGAAACAAATAATTTTCAAACTGCTGATTGCATCGAAATAAATGCTAAACATGAAGAGAAGAATGGTGCGTGGTGAAATACAGAAAATTCACAAAAAACAATTAACTACCTTTAATTCGGCAGGAATAAGTTGCACTTTGGCAGTGTCTTTTGCAACTGCAGCCAAATCCGCTAATAACTCTAGATCTTTCAGGCTTTCCCCGCAAACCGAAAGCTCAGTTTTTCTAGCCAATACTTCGTCATCAGAATCGTTCGTGTCATTCGGTGACGCCATTACGTCATGGCTCACGTGAGCCAGGTAATATTCCATTGGATAATCGATGTTACGAATCATTCGGATCTGTCTGTTTCGTTTTAAACCAGATTTATCCAAAAAGTGAAATGCAGTGTTGCGATCCACCATTACTCTTCCAATTGTTCCTTGGCTAAGACTTTCTTGCATTTCATCCAGGTTGTTGAACTCTGTTAATGAAAAATTTATTTGATTAGTTCGCCAACGCAAATTCTTACATGAATAAAATAAGAAAAAGCGGTGGAGAAACTTCTCCTTAGAGTTTTGATACAAAAATATATGAAATATGACTGAAATTAAAAGGTCATTTTTAAGCTTATTTCTTTACTTTCGTAGTCTTTCCTGAAGAACAATGGTCATGCAACACGTTATACAAGAACATTGAAATAACCTGAAAAGAATTACTTACTGACAGAGTCTGCGTCCAGCTCCATAGCGACTATATGCGTTTCAGGATTCTTGTTGGACACACCCACCTAACAAGTAAATTGGGGTCAGACAAATTTTTATGTGCCAGTTGGGCCCTTATAGATTGCGCAAGAATAATTTTCGGTCTATGGTTCATGTCTATTTTCAGGTTTTCAATGTCTTGGAAGAAGAGGGTTACCGTAGTATAGAATCGTTCGTTGTCTAAAGGACTGGGCATACCCGTAGTAAAGATTACATCGTTTATAGTTCCCGCTTTCACAGGCAACAAAATAGCGCCGAAGAGAAACTTACATTTTGACTCGTCAAGTCACTGCTTCTCGTCTGGAATCCAATAGTTAATTATGTTTTGTCAGAGCAAGTATGTATCTCAAAATGAAGAAGATTTCATGTTTAATTGACAACAAATATATACTTTAGACTTCGTTTGTTTCTTTTTTCTTTTTTTGTAAAGCGCACTTAAGTAAAAAGTAGCATAATTTTCAAAAACGAGTTTAATTTTGAGCACCATTTGACAAATGATCGAGTAATACCACTAGCATAATATGCTACTTTTACTAGCACAATCTATAAAGGCTTATTGCCAGATGATAAGTACTTTCCTCTTGCAAAGAATATGAAAAACCTGTACAACGAAAGTACACTTAAGTTGTAGTTCCGGAAAGACCCACCCTAAATAATAGGAACAGGGAAGGCATTGTTGTTGAAAGGGCCAACAATATCCGAAGTTGTACAAAACCAGAGCAATTTTCCACTTCGACAATCAATTAAAATTGTTTAATGCTAATTTCATTCTTCCATACAACTTGCTAACTCGGACTCAGGTAGCTCATAATTCCTAGCTTAGCTGTTCGAAGTCTGAGTAGCGCTAATCCGGGGTTAATTTCATGCGGGTTTCTTTAGACCTTTGTTCAGCAAACTCTTTCGAATAATTTTCTCTATTTTTTTTCCTAAGAGCATCCAATAAGTGTGGACAAAAAGAATTATACTGAATTTTCTTTGACAGCTTTCAGATCTTAAATAAGATTTCACATTACTGCTGAGTTATCTGAACCCTGCTTTTAACAACTCGGCCCTGTGACTCATTTTAGTTGTTCCTGAGTTCGATCGATGAGGGTAGGATTCCATTTATTGGTAAAATAACTTTTCCAGGGAAAGGCCTTTCGACGCTTCGTTTAGGATAAATTGAAAAATGTAGGGAATCTAATTTGAAACCAAGAAAATAATCAATTGATATCTCCTTACAATATCACACCTGAATCAAACATTAGGGTCACGAGAATAAAAGAAATGATTACCAATCAAAGAAGCTCTTGATTGTTAAAAAAAATTCTTTTTTCCAGCACGTTGAGAAACGTAAAGAGAAAACCATAGAGAAGAGACATAATGATGTTAGGGTGCAAAGGGTTTTAGGTATTCATGTTAGGGTTACTAACCTTTTTGCCACCGATGTCCCTACATCTCGTACCATCCAGGGAAGCTTGGATAGCATTTGTCATTAAGGCGGTGAACAGCGACAACGTTATAGCTCCTATCAGGATCCATATTATACCAAATGAACGTCCACAGAAGGTTTTAGGCGTCTTATCACCGTACCTAATGAGAAAAAGGAACCAAATATCTTCGCGCTTTGAGGATAGTGTAGAAAGTATAGGAAGAGGGTTGTCCAATACACCCAAACCGCTACGATTCGTCAAAGGCAGTTTGCGAATCGTTCTACCGGTTAATGCGGTTAATGCGTCTCGTTATACCGAAAATCTGATAAACCATCTCTCATTAGATGGAAACTGGAAGTCGATTTGCAAATCACTTAGGAAATATTTCATAAGTAACTGTCAAGGGTTGTTGAAAATGTTGTCGAATTGAACGACTCGTCCAAGTTAAAGTCGACCCGTCACACCAGAAGTCGATTTGCAAGACACTTAGAAAATATTCCGCAAGTGGCCACGAAAGGGGATTGCAGATTTTGTCGAATCGTACGACTCGTCGCAGCTGATGTCGACCCGTCATACCGGAAGTCGATTTGCAAGACACTTAGAAAATATTCCGCGAGTAACTACGAAGGTGGGTTGGAGATGTTGTCGAATCGACTCGAATCGAACGACTCGTCACAGTTGATGTCGAACCGTCATACTTCCGGTGTGTAGATTCGTCAACGACCGTGGACAAATCGTAGCTGTTTCACGCTTTAAGAACGTGGAAGGTTCACGTTGTCATTTTCTCTTTTCATGCTACTCATTTTCACTCATTGCTTACGCCCCTCGACTTTCGGTATGTTAACGCACGATTCGACTTCCGGTATGCTATACTAATCATTTTCAAAAATTGCTTACCAACTTCTACTTCTGGTATGTTAACGCACGATTTGACTTCCGGTGTGTCGATTCGTCAACGACCGTAGACGAATCGTAGTGGTTCAGGTGTACTGGACATCTGTGTATGTTAAAAAATAAATAGACAAAAAACTGAATCATGGATATGCAATGCAAAATTCTTTTTCGTTTCTTTGCTACCATTCATTTTGCTTTATAAGCTGTGAAGAACTGTAAACGAGAGGACCCCGATACCACGTAACAACTAGTTATCTGTAAGACTGGAAGCCAATTGAAGAATGGAACCCTGGTGTGGTGAAGATATTGATAAACCCGACACATGTATTAATTTCGACAAAAAAATGGGTTTTACAATTTTGCGTATTTTTGGTTACATTCAAAGGACGCTATGAAAAAAAATCCCACCAATGCCCAAATCTAAATCAACTTACCCTACTGTTGTAAGTGATTCCACTGCCCACCAAAAGCCTTCTGGTGATCCTTTCGTGAACAAGGGTGAAAACTGAGACGCGTTTGAACGGTGTTCCTGTCATGAAAATCAGTATAACTGTTTAATGAATTAATATTATGCATAAAAAAACTAATAATATGATGACGTTTAGTGTGGAGTAAATACATTGTTTAGAAAACACTTCCAGCTTACTTAAGGCCCTGCTACAACACGCAAAGTTTGCAGCAGTTTTACTGTATCCGAAATTTTAGCAACTTGGTATAAAATGTCTTTATTTGATAGTTTGCGTCATTGCAACGGTCTTTTTTCACTTACAAACAAACAAACATTATTTGTAGATTCATGACTTGTAGGGCATTACAGTTTTCTTTTTATTTACTGTGAGGTCCTTTTTTTAGTCTGGCTTTCTATTTCGGTGAAGTGATAGGGTGTGCCTAGCTAACCGTTTACTCAAAAATGGTGCTGTCGATTCCTACTTGAACTATTTTCATGCTAAAGCCGTGACAATTAAGTTTGAATCTAACCTTACATTGAATTAAAACTAAAGAGCTTCAGAAGCTGAGTATAGATTGACGATGATAAGCCTTAACTCTTACCAAGAGCCAAATGATCACTCCAGATATCCCTGACAGCAATATGATATAAGCCATTATTGGCCATTGTAACGTAATGGAAGTAAACAACTGTTCCCGTGACTCTGCTTTGCACTGCTTTAAGTTCACAATTACTGAACACCCGGGTGATACAAATGCCCGGATGAGTGTCACACTGTCTAGGCCCGCAAGTTTTTGTTTTGCATCCGATAGAATTGGAAAACCAAAATCAACCGACCCATTTTTAATCAATTTCAGCATCTCGTCTTGATTTTGAACAAATACTGGTACCATTTTGCAAGCTATGGGGTCTGTTGCTCCTCTACCAAAGCAAGCTGTGTCCAGAAACCATGTTAGGGTTTGATACATAAATCCTTGGTTAATACTTTGCTTCATAATGTAAGGAGGAAAATCTAGCAGGGCAAATTTGAATTTGCATTTCTTTTCCTTATCTTGTTCTTGACGAAGTTGACGCGTTCGGCGAATTTGACGATGTTGCCTGATTTCATGGGCTTTGCGCACTAATTCCGATTGATCGATTGAATCAAGTTGGAGCTTTTGGCTGCTGGCAAGCCATAAATCGCAGCAAACCATTAGACATAGGACCAATCTCAGAGTTGCAACATGCATCGTTAACACCGCCAAGATATGATATGGTTAGAAACCTCCCCTGAGGCTACCAGACTTCAAGTTGTGTTCAGATCTAACCAAAAAACAAACAAACAAACAAACAAACAAAAAAACCACAGATGCCAAAGTCAGTACAATATGTTATCTGTTTGCAAGCTTGCTGTTTTATACTGCATGGGTGCAATGCAAGACCATATCTCAATGTGATTTCCATTACATTTATATGAGAATATTCACGAAGAAGACATCATGCACTTGTAAAGAATGGAACGAAAATATGGTTTTAACCTTCTCAAAGGACTCGAAGAAGTTTTTTATAGACAAAAAGTTATGGAGTTCTCATTGAGGTAGCGATCTGCTCTCCTGGCAATATCCAGCTACCCTCACTAAACGCTTATTTTTCTCAATTTCCGAAAACCGCCTATTACGATGTATCTATTACCACACAGCGTGCCGTTATCTGAGTTAGTGTGCTTACAGAATTTACATCAACCGAGTGTAAGTGTAAGTTCGGAGTAGTAGAATCAAAGTTAATGATTAAAAGCTGATACCTGAGCCAAAAACAGACATTCTCTTTAGTTAATGAATCAGACAAGGCGGCTACAAACATACTGACAAATTTTGATTCGCTCCCATCAAGAAGCTCGAAAGATGGACCCGTTATGAATTTTGAATTGCGCTTGGCGGTTGGCAATAACTGTTTTTTGTCAGGGTCTGTGTTATCAAGAAAAAAAAAACTATAATGTGAATCTCCAGACTAACAAAATTTGTAATTGTGGCCGATGCAGTTTAAGGGCTTGATTATCAAAATTCTGAGGCAGAAAATAACAATTTTTAAAAGAATCCTTCATTAGCTCTTTTTATGTGAGATCTTTTGATAAAGTATGGTTTTTCTTCGACTCCGCTTTTCTGTGTCGAGGAACCTAACAGCAATTTTGGCATATTAATGTGATCTACAAAATCTGTAAGTATGGCTATGCCAGGATTATAAATAAGTCCCCATTGTGAACAAAAACACCGCGTCAATGTAATTTTTTTTCTAACACTGCAGAATATTTTGAGTCCTGGGCTGTGACGCCAGATTGAGCGAATGTTATTATACAGTTATTTGCGGGGGACACAATTGATGAAGCCTGGCGAAGGGCTGCATAGAAATTTGAAAAGACGGAGCGCGTTTCGATCTTCGATTAAGAAATTGGGAAAGTTGACTTTTAATGAAAGATATTCAAAAGGGAATCAGTAAACATAGTGCAGTATGATTAATAATCATTATGGGAAATATTCAGAGCCAGGCAAATAAATGTGCTTTCAGCTGGCGTTGGCAAAGCCAAGAAATTATTTAACAGTCACTACTTCTTTTTTCTTATGCTTAAATTCTGCTACTTAACGGGATCGCATTGGCAATTCAAAATAGGTCACAAAAATTCTGAATTTGGGACAGGTTTTGGTTAATTTTAGGAGAGTCCAACTCCAGATAACAATATCAACAAAAATATTAGAAATTAGGTTGCCAACTTCTGTAAGGATAAAAAGCGTTTGGCGAACTTGACGATGTTGCCTGATATCACGGTCTTACGCACTAATTCCGATTGATCGATTGAATCAATTCGGGGCTTTTGGCTGCTGGCAGGCCGTAAATCGGAACAAAAGAAGAGACATAGCGCCAGTCATGCAACATGAATGGTAAAAACTGCCGAAGAAATGAATTACTGGAAAACCTCCCTTGCTTGCACACTTGAAGTTTTGTTGTGATCGCAACAGATAGCGCGGGCTCTTCAGAGAAATATGTTACTGAAAGATGATCAACGTCATAATATAAGTCAATATTCGAACATGAACAAGCCCATTTATGTTATACTTTATAATGCTATCGTTTTAATGAACCGATACTTATTCAGGATTTCCTTAATTAATTTTTCGATCGTTTTAAGTTGGGAAGAGGATAGCCGATTGATTAACGAGTATCATTATGGTTTTTTTAATTCCGATCGTCTATTGACATCAATTTGGGGCTTTTGGCTGTTAGCAGGCAGTAAATCGGAACAAAAGAAGAGACATGGCACCAGTCTTATGGTTGCAACATGCATGGTTTTCTATCCCTTGCTTATGTTTTGCTGTGATCCAATGGTTAGCGCAGGCTCTTCAGAGAAATATGTTACTGAAAGATGATTAACGCCATAATATAAGTCAATATTCGAACATGAACAATCCCATTTAGGTTATACTTTATAATGCATTCGTTTTAACGAACCGATACGAGAAAATGCCTGAGGATAGCCGATAGATTAACGAGTTTCGTTATGGTTTTTTTTTTCATCGTCTATGATCATACAATATATTGATATTTAGGAATTTCAAAAAGAACTTTTCTATATAATTAGATGTCCAAATGGTTAATGGTGTAAAACACCCGTCCGATGAATATAGGAAAACATACCATATTGCGCACGATAATCGAACGGCAAATACGAGAAAATGCTTGGGAATAGCTGCATTAGTATGGTGAATCACCGATAACAACGCGTTTTATTTACGCAAACAGCTAAAAAACGCCAGTAAACATTTTATTTCTTTACGTTGACCAACCCGTGAACGTTGGAAGACCGTTGTTTTCAAGCGTTTTCTACGCATTTTCTGTCCTAGAAAATGGAAGGAAACGCTCTGTCTTCGACGGAAAACTTCTTTCAAAGCAATCTTTTGCTACTGGAAAACACCAGTAAGCAACGAATACAAACCATTTTCCCATCTGACACCGTATTCTTAACACCAGGAAAACAATAGTTTTCGTAGAGTTAACTGTCAAGGAAAACTGTTGGATAATGGAACGAATACTCCAATTCGCCGACTCGAAAGCAACGGGAAAACGTTGATTTTCTTGTCGGAAAATGTCAGAAAAATGCATAAATAATGTTGCGTTTCAAATATTCAGAACTTGTTTTCCGAACCGGTGAACACCATATGTTTCGCGATGAAGTGCGTACAAAGTAATGAAATAAACAAATACCTCAAAATATATGTAGAAATAACTGTGCTCTATACTATTGAAATGCTTTCAATCCTGAAATCATCATTCCGAAGTTCATCATCATTATTCACGGAAAACGCGTCAGACGTAAGATGATTCCGAACAGCTGGTAAACGAGGAGGTAATTTAAGTTTGAATTAGAAATAACATGCAAATAACAAATGGTGTACGACAACACTATTCGTTTTTAGCTTTTTCTCTTGCGACTATTTAAAGGCTGTTTAACTTTCAGACTCATCGATGGTTTCTAACTAAAATCTAGAAAATTTATTAGTCGACGCTGTCTTGTTATAAACGGAAATTTTTGGGAGATATATCTCATGAAGTTTCGTAAAGCCCTTTGTTAAAGATGAAACTCTACGTTATCAAGAATCAGAATGAGTCTAGCCTGCAGTGCAGGCACTTTATTAGGGCGAGCTAACGTTATAAGCTCGCGATCGTTTTTCCGACCAGCCATGTTTGATTTGGAGTCAGAGTGGAAGTGGGGGGCGGGGAAAGGGCAAGAAGACACCTGCCCGAAGAGGCTGTGGAAAGGAAGAACACCCCCTGATTAGTTGCGCGTCACTGCATTTCCCGAAGATGAGCGGGTAACCAATAAAACTGAGTTAAATTATAAACCGGAAGCATTGTCTTCCGACAAAACAAAGAC